ATTAAAGCTCCGACAAATGAACATCTGTGTCTGGATTTTCCCACAGGGAGGGGATGGAAGAGATTCTCCCCACAGAGGCTCACAGTCTGGCCACTGACCGCCTCTACGTCTCAATAACAGACTCAGGAAGCGGCACGAACCACCACGTGTCGACGTTCACCTCCAGGGAGGAGCTCATAAAGGTGCGCAGCCCTCTCTGTAAACACATAGTCCCGTCTTTCAGTTTCAAACATGGTCATAAATGTTTATGATTGTTTTACAGCCTGTTTCTCTCCAGTCTTCAGTTTACTGCTATAATGACACCGTGCTGTATATGAGCTGTTACCTAACTGCACGCGCCTCGTGACCGAAATGTTGAGCGACGAGCTGCCGAACGAAGTGCTTCTCCTGGATAACTGTCCCCCTCTTGTACCTGTCCAGGTTCTGTTAGCCAGCTGCTTTGTCCCAGTCTATGCTGGACTCAAACCAGTAGAGCTCAGAGGAAAGGTAAGGGTTTATGCTGGGAGGATTATGCTAGACTGTGATAAATCAAATGCGTTGCTGACTTCAGAGTGTTCGGTGCTAGAAAATGTTAAACATACAAAAGTAGATTATAGAGTCTGAGGAATACTTGACCTGGGATACATGTCAACTCCAGGCACGTGCAGAGGGGGGGCTAGAGGGGCTTGAGCACCCGCCCCTTTAAACCTCTCTGCACGGCCCTGGTCAACTCTACTCTTTACTAGTAAAGACAACAGCCAGATGTCACAGTCCAGGGTTACAATGAGCTTCATGTACAACATGTGGGCATGAAAGAGGTTATGATTGATACCTGAGGTTTTAATACAACGAGCCGACACGCCTGGTGAAGAAAATATTTGAATGTGTCTTGAGCAGTGTTGGTCAAGTTACTTGAAAAAAGTAATCAGTAACTAATTACTGATTACTTCCCCAAAAAAGTAATCCCATTACTTTACTGATTACTTATTTTCAAAAGTAATTAATTACTTAGTTACTTTTTAAAAACACGATTTACAACCTGAATAGGTGA